CAAAGAAAAAAAATTGAATTTTATAAGAAAATCGAATAATAATAATATTATAGATTGTTATGTTGATGCTGATTGGGCAGGTGACAAAAATAGTAGACAGTCAACGACAGGTTTTGTTATACGTTATTATGTGAATACGATTTTTTGGAAAGTAAAGAAACAAAGTAGTGTAGTTCTACAGCAGCAGAATATGTAGCTTTATCTGATGCTGTTAGCGAGGTAAAAGTAATTAAAAATTTATTAAAAGATTTAGACGTAAATATTGTTAAGCCTATAAAGATCTATGAAGATAACTCTGGTGCAATTGCTATTACCAAATATGGTAATCTCACAAAGAAATCTAAATACATAGAAACACATTTTCATTTTATTAACGAAAGCTACGTAAGAAATGAAATTGATATTGTAAAAGTTGAGAGCGAAAAGAATATTGCGGATATATTTACCAAAGGACTAGGTAAAAATAAGTTCGAAATGTTCAGAAGAGATTTAAATATTGTATAACGAATTGTAAGAGAAAGAATGTAAGATTTTTTTTGAAACCTGTGAATATTATGGATTTTTTTTGAAAATGTTTACTGTTAAGAAATATAAATTCAAGGAGGTGTGTTAAAATATATGAATTAATATTTCAAGAGTAAAAGATGTATGTAATAGCGCATGCGCAAAAGCGCATGAGTTCACGGCGAAATGTATCTGTACGTATCTATGAGTACAGTCGAAAGAGAGCGGTTGCTTAAGGCAGACCGTGTCTCTAACTATGAGACCCACTTTGTATATATTTGCATGATATTATATTTTATTTAAAACAAACTCAATCGTTTTTATCTCAGTCATTTTTAACAACTATAGCACATAAAATCTAGGTACATCAATTTTCTAATTTTAAACGCAAATATGCATTTTCATACTTTGACATTCAAAGTTCAAGGTTAAAGAAGTCACTATAATTTTTTACTAATTTTATCGTATTCAGCGACTCACAAAACGTAGATATACCAATTTTCAAGCGCAAATACGCATTTTCATTGTTTGATTAATTTTAAATTATTTTATAATTATTTAATATTATTTTATAATTATTTTATTTTTTAATTATTTTATAGTTAATTTTGAAGGTTAAAGAAGTAATCCGGATATTTTTCAATATTTTTCCTAAATTTAGTGCATTAAATTGACCTTATAAACATCTATTATGTTCGCTTTTCTAGTTGGTCCATATATGGACTAGTCTCGAAGCGAAAAGGTTAAGCTATCTAACAACAAGAATTGTAAATGACATGGAACTGGCATAGTTTATCAGTGTAATTGTAATAATTGTAATTCTTTATGTATTGAAGAAAGTAAACACTCGTTTAAAACAAAAGTGAATAAAAATAAAAAATTAATAGAAAAATTTAATAATATTTACCGATCGGATGAAGTATTTTTGATACCTGTTCCAAAACATATCTTAAAAAATCCTAATCTTAGTATTGATTTCGACGATGCAAAGTTATTAATAAGGAACATAGTTTTAATAAAAGACGTATTTCTAAAATGTTACATATAAAATCGTTTAAACATACTATTAATAAACAAGAAGATACTAAATTTCTCAGTTTGCATTACAACAGTATGTTAACTGTCATCAATCAATAGAATAGAAAAAAAAGGTGGCAGCCGGGGGACTGCCGATAAAAGCGAAACTCAAACTCATATCGTGCAGAAATTGTATATATAATTGGTATCTAACTACTAATGAAACAATAAGCTCTATCAATTATGCATAAACAACTTCATTGAAATATTAATAACATTCATTATCGTATGTGATTTCGGTAACAATTAACTCAATAATAAAAAAGGCGCCATTGTCCTTATGTAATGTTCTATACTAACACACACTATAGGTCTACAGTGAGGGCTGTCTCTACTAACGAACACTATAGCCTACTACTGCATATAGCTCTACTGCCAGCGCCATCGGTTGCTGTACTTTTGTGTGTGTGTATGTGTGTTACGTACTAGGCTGTAAGTCAGTTGCAGCGGCTTGTACGCTTGTAGCGCGCAGGCATACAAGCCGCATGTTGTTTCACTCAGAGTATTTCATAACAAACCGTTTAATTACTGGACGATACAAGAAGAGGCTTCGCTCTAATAAGCTTACAGTTATTATAACTCAAATTATTCTATTTTTTTTCGCTAAACCTTTTCATTTTTATGTCATAAGAAACTTAAATGATTCTTCACTTCAAATAAAGCTTATAGTGACTAATATTCAAGTGTTTAAGCATGATGGACGAAAAGTCACATAATATGTTACTCCTCACGTGTCAATTTTTTCAGGTTCATTTTACTGCTTTTAATGAAGATAACATAAAAATTTACATTTAATACTTAAATTTCTTGTAAATGTTTGCCATGTTGTTTTTATAATACTAATAATTATATTGTTATCTGTTATAATTCTGACGAAGCCCCAAATATTAATGACGAAACGATGACATTCAATGGACTAAATTGTTTTATTGGTTAAATATTTACCGATGGCTGACCTTTTAAAAAGCGATTTTATTATTATGAATAAGGTAGAACGAAAGGTACTAGATATTATAATGCCAAATTTTATAACAAATGAATAGCTAAATCGTATACAGATAATAGAATTATACTACTGTGGGCAAAAAGTAAGGTGAATTTTCAATTTAAACTTCGCGGGCTTAACATTTCGGGATAGTTCTTTTTTTCTTGAGTTGGTAGGACTGCGAATGACATCTGGGACAAATTTCATGTCAATGTCATCATCAGTAATATATTTACGCTTGTGTTTACCAAACGACCAAGAGTGCATGTTTCGATTTTTACAATGTCTGATTTAATTGAGCAAAGAAGTGCCATCAAATTTTGTTTGCGGAATGAAATTTCGGCTGCGGAAACGTTGAGGATGTTGCGGAAGGCCTTTGGTGATTCTACCATGTCGCAGAAAAATGTTTATAAGTGGTACAAAGACTTCAAAGAGGGTCGAGAACGTGTTGATGACTTGGAGCGCTCCGGACGACCATCGACGTCAACAGATGACCAACACGTCAATAAAGTGAAGGAATTAGTGCTCGAAAATCTGCGGTTGACTGTTAGAGACCTTACTGATATGATCGGAATATCAGAAGGATCTGTGAAAACAATTTTGAAAGACCATTTGGGCCTACGAAAAGTCAAATCTCGTTTGGTACCGAAAACGCTCAATTTCTTGCAAAAAAGTCGCCGCGTTGATGTGTGTGAAACAATGCTTTCTGACTATCAGGACAAGCTCAAATGCATGATTACGGGAGATGAGACTTGGATTTATGCTTACGACCCTGAAACAACCGACCAATCAAGCGAATATCGTGCTAAAGGCGAGGCCAGACCGAAAAGAGCACGTCAAAGTCGTTCAAAAATCAAGGTCATGATGACAGTTTTCTTCGATTTTCGTGGTGTGGTGCACTATGAATTCCTTCCACCCGGCCAAACTGTTAATAAGGAATATTATTTGAGCGTTATGCGTCGTTTGCGTGAAGCAATTCGTCTAAAAAGACCAGAATTATGGGCCAACAACTCTTGGTTTTTGCATCATGATAATGCACCATCTCACACTGCACTCGTTCTTCGTGACCATTTCGCCAAAAATTCGACGCATATCGTTCCGCAACCACCGTATTCGCCTGATTTGGCTCCGTGTGACTTCTGGCTATTCCCAAAACTCAAGAGACCACTCCGGGGAACGCGTTTCGAGTCGATTGAGGAGATAAGAGCTGAATCGAAGAAGGCGCTGATGGCTATACCGGAAAGGGACTATTTGGCATGTTTCGAGGATTGGAAAAAACGTTGGCATAAGTGTATTTTATCGGGAGGGGATTACTTCGAAGGGGATGACATTGATGTAGAAGAATAAATAAAGATTTTTCATTTTACAAACAAATTCACCTTACTTTTTGCCCACACGACGGTTTATAGAATTAATTGCGTTATAGAGAGGAAATTATTATAAATAAGATTGTCTCGGCAATGCTATACTTGATTTGCCACTAGATTTGTGCAATGACTCGTACTCGGCCGAGCCTGGTCATCTACATCAATGCTACCTCGTGGCCCGCATAGAGCGTCGTGGGTAGATGTAAGAAAAATCGCGAATAATGAATAAGAAGGGAATTAGCATAAGAAAAGAACAAGAATCAGGAGAGAAAAAAGAATGCGTAATTAGTATAACTGCTGTTTATATAAATGAAATTATAAATAATACAAAAATAGAGTTATAATAAAGCAGTTTAATAAAGCAGCGCAGGATAAGAGAGAGGAAGCAAGCAAGCCGAGAGAGAGACAAAGTACGAGGAGGTACTTATATTTTCTTCAGTCATGCCTTCTACAAACACTCCTACGTCAAAGTTCGTTAGATGTAACAACGGCTCGCTATCGTTGCGTTAAACCCGCGTTGGTTGCACTCTCAGCACACCGCACACACACTCTATACACCTTAAGGCTGTTGGAAGCCGACGTTGATGGCAAGGCCAAAAACGTTATTTTTATTAACGGAAAAGCAGCACAAAATCAGCAAGACCTCAAAAGTAGCGCGTCCATCGACACGTGTTCGCGACGTCGAGTCGAACAGCCAATTGTCGCTCGCGGTGCCCCCTTCCTATTACAATATATGTCGCACACGTTCTGACCGGTCAAGACGCCCTCAGCGCAACGCATATGTTCGGGCATATCGCTCTCTCTTTCTCTCTAACGCAACTCTCTGTTGCTCTCTTTCACCTCTTGACTGCGTCGGCTGCTGCTATGTCGAATATCTATATGACTATACATAAAGGATATTGACATAATTTATATAAATGATATGGATTATATAAAAATAGAGAGAGGCGTAACGAGTTTAGAAATGAACTGCTTATAACACTTCTAGTAATGAACCGTGGATTGTGTAGTTATTTCGTGTATTCAAATATTATATATTTTTTCATCATTAATATTTATGGTTAAAGGGCATGAAGTTATGGAAAGTTCAGTTGCCAGGAAGTCCCCTAGATATTACAAGTTTACCTGTACCTCAAATTGGCTTATCACTATTAGCTGTTAGCATTACAAGATTTGGTGTTCAAATTTATGATCAGAAGCATCATGTAGATACAATCACTATGTTTGACTCCGTTTCCGCTATGAAGGTAAATTAATTATTTACATATTATTGAACATATTATTGAAGTTTCCACAATAATTACTAATAAATACATAAATACATATGATATTGTAACGAAGCTCTATTACAAACAGGAATTCATTCGATTATCCAAAAACAAGTGATCAAGTATCATTCATCTATTAACATGCACATACATTTACATATTATGATACTGAATTCAAAACCTTGAACTGATCAAGAAATTCATAGTCTAGGAAATATAACGATATAGTCGACTTGGAGATGCGGTACAATCTCGTGGAAACTATATCACCGCCATCGAACCGACCTCGACCGTCAAAAACACCTTCTTGTAGTTTGGCATCACTTATGCTCGGAAACTACTGTCCTAAGTCTTAAAAAATTTTCCAGCCTTATTCAAAGCTTTGATGAATTGCTTCATGAGATTTAGTTTTATATGAAGAGGTGGAAGCAAAATTTTTTATAGATCTATTAAAGGATCACGGAGGATGTTTTCTACTCATGGATTAAAATCTGTTCTTCTTGGCCACTGTTTCTATACATAGTGATTTTTTCTATTTCTACTATCTCACAGTCACAAAAAAACAGGAATGTTTTGTAAAATCTGACTGCTGACCAAGAATCAGAGTTGAGATTTTGAGATCACCACACACTTGCCATTGGTGATCCACGTAATTAATTATCTCCAATACTATTTCGAAATTTTCAATATATTCTTAAAATTCGTTAAATGAACTGTCGAAATGGATGCAAAAGAGATTACATTGTTTAAAAATACAGCTTATAGGCTACATTAAGAAGAGTCCCTAAATAACCTTCCTTCTTAATTTACATAAATATTAGGTTTCAATTCGAAGAAGGCGCTGATGGCTATACCGGAAAGGGACTATTTGGCATGTTTCGAGGATTGGAAAAAACGTTGGCATAAGTGTATTTTATCGGGAGGGGATTACTTCGAAGGGGATGACATTGATGTAGAAGAATAAATAAAGATTTTTCATTTTACAAATAAATTCACCTTACTTTTTGCCCACAGTAGTATGTATGTTCTGAGACACAAAGAGGCCGCTCGATGAAGTATCGCGGTATCGCGATACGCGACACCTCTCTGTGTTATCGCGATAGGGTAAAACCCCATGCTAAGCGTCTAAAAGGTAATTGATGTACCTTTTACATTGAAGATGCGTCGCCAATGCATAAGAGATACGTGTATGTCCTGGGACACAAAGAAGCCGCCTGATGAAGGTATTGCGTTTTGGTTATAATTTGACATCTGTTTGTCCGCCAGGGAGCCCTTCGACAGAGTGCACCCCCCCCCCCCCAGAGGTTATTAGGTACGACGCTGTAAAAGTTGGTAGGGTGTTTGGTAAGCTATATAATGGTCTCTCTATCTCTCTCTTTCTCTATCCCTTTCTCTCGTCTCCTTCGACGGTAAGGCGCTTAGTAAGCTTATGCTGGCTAAGTGTGGGCCCTTGAAGTCTCTAGTTTGGTAAGCTATATGCTGCTCTCTCTCTCTCTCTATCTATCTATCTATCTAAGCAAGGGCTATAGTAATTTTATTCGATTTCTGGAACCTTTCGACCCCATAGTTAATTTTATTCGAATATTAATTAGTAGAACTCATAGAAATTTCATTTAATTATTAATTTATTGTTCAATTATACATTGAATACAGAACAGTCTGTCTATAACCTTTATTTTCAGTAGTAATCGACATAGCTATTTCGAAATATTTAATCGAATTTTTATATCTATTACTATCAACTTCATCGATACCTTCCAGTTCAGATTACTTCTGTCTATCTTTAATCCATGTAAACAATTTTTGTACATTTGTAACGGCACATACAAAGTTAGCTCGATTATCGTAATGGCGAATATCTCATGTCGCTTTCGAGATCCAAAATTTTTCTATAAAAGAAAAAAAAGTTTCTAATTAATAGTGATTTTAATTTCTGACAAAAAATAATTTTTATACTTACTTTTTAGGTAATATTTTTTTATAACCATTGTTTCTTTTGCAATCTTTTTACATAAATATTTCTAGAATTATGTAAATGATTGTTCAATACACGTGGTAAATTTTTATATGGTATAATGCCAGAATTCTGTAATATACTATGATGAAACATTTCTAAGAATTTATTCACTTTACGACATATCATAGGAAGTTTAAACCAATGATGCGGTGATTCACATAAAAGCACAATTGGAAAAGTATCAATATATAAAGGTAAATAGATGAGTTCGTTACATACAAAAGACTCGTTTGAACCTTGAAAGCTTTGAATATCTAATACGTAATCCATTTGAACAGATGAAGAAGTTAATGCGAACTCTATGAGATACCAAAGCCGTTATGAGAGTACATGCATGTGTTTGTTTTATATAGAGCCCATACCTAACCATTCGAAAGTAGAGGGCGTCATAGTCACCAAACCCCCCTCCTCCGAGTTATAGGTAGTTTGTATCAAATTCCAACAACGTATATATTTTATTTTCTTTTTTATTGAAAAGCAGCATTGTGTACATTGATTACATAATGTCTTGTTAATTTTAAACTAATTTTTTAACATCAACATTAATTGGATTATATTTTACAAGACGATCGTATAATATTAACCCACAGTATCTTTAAGAAAATCGATCCGAGTTTCAAATTCTAGGCGAACATCGACTGGTGCGCTTTTTATATGTTTCATTTTGTTTGGAGCAGTCTATAACTATTGGCGATACTTTATTAATTAAACCTTTTTTATTGAGTAACGGCTCATTTTTTTACCATAGTAAGCGTTTTGAAAATTAGTATACATATCGTAGAGAACAGCATACTGATTTTGATTGATATTCAAATTGAAATTTCCATATGGATAGCATTGTGAATTGAGGAATAGCTTCACATTACTCATATTGCCATGATCAAAATTACTAGAATTCACACTCGCTGAACTTTTACGTTTAGTCTAAAAAGCTAAAATAACAAAGTGAGGCTTTTCCAATTGATTGGAAGTCTTAATACTTCAAACATGCTTTGACGTACGAGGTAATTTTGGATACTCTTACATTTCCCAAGTATGATAACTCATTGTAATTGCACGGTATCGTCCGATCTGATTGAGTAATTTGATTTTTTCTTTGTCCGCAACCATCACATATGGCATCAACCATTCAACCTTAGTTAAAGTAATTTTTAATTTTTCTGAAGCCGCAGGATTCCCTACTGGAGTACTTAAAATAGCGTTTAAATCATCTCTTGATCTTGTGAGAATAACTTCATGCTTGACATTGACTACAATTTTCCGATAATCTTCAGCAAAGCCCATTAACATACTGAGAGGGATAATCATATCAAAATAACCTATAGCATTACATATTAAAACTTCATTGTTATCACCATTCCATCCGGCATTTTCAGCGATAGAGCTTTGACATAGATTGAGTGAAAGCCAATTTTTCATGAAACTCGTTAAGCCTAAATTTTTCACTTTATCAATTGCAATAGCATTTATTTCACATCGTATTTCCCCGAACAAATGACAGAAGGCGTTGTTGACTAATAAAATGTTCTCCACTGGCGTAGTACCGTCCGGCTTGGTCAAACGATCACAAATATGAATTATACTGCGTGATGGAAGCAAAGATAAATCTTGATGTTGAATTGCTATATAGATTTTATCGCTATTATTAAAATATGATAATGAATAAGGCTGATGCGCATGAACTTCATAATGAGTTATAGACTCATCGAAAGCTACACCTGAATAAATGTCTAGAATTCTGTCCATATGGTTGTTATTATTTTATACAGCACACAAATATGCACAATATTTTCTTCCACGATTTTCGACGACTTTTAGTATCAAGATTTTCAGGAATTCAATGTTCTGAGGTGTGAGCGATCTGATAGCTCTCTGTTGACTGGTCGGTGATTGACATTTTTGTCTTTTAATATAGCCTCGACCGGTCTTTATATTGTAAAAAATACTCATTACTTTTATATGTACTCGCACTGTGATGACTTCTTCTCGAAAGTTAACTAGGTTTCCGTCAACTTGATCAACTATACGAATTTGAAAATGATCAGTGCTCCTCACAGCGACTGGAAGGTAAATGACGTAATGGGGAAATTCTATAATCTTATATCCAGATGGCACTGCTGGAAAAAATTCATATATACTATGTACTTTACGATCTTTTATGTAAGAGCCTCTAATAATATTACACTCTATACCTAAAGCGTTGACTTTGAGAATAGTCACGAGTAAGTCAGAACTATTCGTTTCGTTTTCAGCAAGCGTGCATATAGTGAAGCCTTAAATTGATCCAATAAAATCCTCTGGTTCAAAATGTATTTTTTGACTGCACTGAATAACACTACGTAAAGTATTATTATTTGGTTTCAGGGTAAACGATATACTTTTGGTTGCTAATACTTCTTTAAGAAAGCTTTCAATATCTTCTATTTCGTAGCTACCAGTCGGTAAAGTAATAGCTTCTTGACCTTAAATGTAAAATTTATTATAACCAACGTCAATGTTTGGTATTACATTAAATGTTAATAGCTCAACTAGACCAAAAACGTATTTTTTGTTTGGTATCAATTCAAGCAGTGGAAAATAATGTGTTTCAAGTACGGATGAAGTTCGCGAGAGACTCAATGTCAGTGTATTCTCCATGACAGATTCATATCAAATGATAATCATTCTTTGAATGAGTATTTTTTATACTAGTCGTATTTTCTATAGTTTGTTTAATAGAAATTTGAGACAAAGATGGCCGCAATTGTGTGTATTAAAATCTTGATATCTAATATAATTATACATGATTCTATTAACTTTGAGATAAAGCAATTTATCTATAGGCGGTTGTAGATTACCAAAACTATCAAAATACATAACCTCATCACCTTTCTTTTTATATGTTATCTAATGAGTACCTAGTCCACTTTCATCATTAAAATTTACAATATCTGTCTCTTGATATCGCGGTCCATCGGCTGGT